AGCAAATTTAGAAATATTTGAAGCCCTGCTTGGATACTGTGGCTATCTTGTGGGAATATGACTGGCTTTATTTGCTGCTTCTGGAAATTTTATGATATGAGGATTGTAAAAACAGTTGGAGGAGGCTATAACTGGAATTCATTATGAAAGCTCCTACCAGCTTCAATGGAGTTGCATTTGCCTGTTTCTGAGAGCTTTACTGCTTCTGCCGGAATCCTTGCTGCCCAGCTGAGGCACTGCTGCACCAAACTTTCCTGACGCTTCTGTTAGGTAAGGGAGAAAAAGGAAGAAGAGAATGGGTCAGTCTTTTTTTTTTGAACTGCGAATTTCTTACAGTGTCAGTGGGGAAAAGTGGATTCCTCCCAGGACTTTCATATGGAGATACCTTCTATCTAACGCTAGCGCCTCTGTTTTACCACTGACCGTTCAGGGAAAATGAGACTCCTTCTGTGTTAATATTGCAACACTTTATATGCTCTCCAGTCACCAATGCAAGGGTGATCCATTCTGCTTCAATTTGTTATTTGTTTGTCTCGATTTGGAGCCAGAAGGGACTGCGAGGTGTCTCCATCTCCCTGGGATCACACTGCAGGACCCTCCTCCTGCGCCTCTTGGCTGTATCTGTAGTGCCCAACGAAAGGAAGGGCACTGATCCCTGGCCCTGTTTCTGACACGTACATCCCAAGTGATGCTTCTGTGACTATAAGCCACGATTGTTGCTTCTGTATGGTTTTTTTTTTTTTTTCCATTCAGGATGTCTGTAGGGATGTGAAGGATGTGCTGCAGCTCTCCAGAGTTGTGTTTTGTAGTATGATGCAGGAGGTGTGTGTTGCGTGCCCCGTGTATGAGTATGAGTAGAACTGAGCTTGCCAAATTTGCTGGGATCATGGATGAAAGGTGTGGTGAAAGGAGGGAAATCTGGTGGAGTCTCGTGCATGCAGCGTTTTAGGAGTGGTGTCTGAAGTTGCTGTCCCTCAACTGCACTTTGGGGTTTGTCATGGAGAAAGCTACTCTGAGATGCACAAAGAGGAGCCAGGGAGTGATCTAAGAGCAAGGCAGTCTGAGTTATCGGCAATGGGGTTACTGTTTTTGTTGTTTTTGTTGGGTTTTGTTTTTCAGTGTAAACAGAGCTCTGTGTTTGCTGTTTGGGAGATAAGAATCATGGGGTGGGTGCTGGTAGCACAAGTGAAACCGTGACTCTTACCTAGTGGTCAAGGTGCTGAGCTTCAGAAAAGCCAAGCTGGGGTTCATGGCCCAGGTCGCTGGTGAGTGTTTGCTGCATTTCACATTAAACTAAAACAAAAGCTGGCCATGTAGAAGTGTGCATCGAAGTGGTTTCCAGCTGAACTCTCCAGCACTCGGTATCAGTTGTTTGCCTGCCTGTATGTTCAGTAGTTCTGCTGCTGCCGCCTGAAGCATGTGTGTCCTCCTCAGGATTTAAAGAGCACTGAAATTTTAGCAGTAATGTGCCTGTTTGGGGTTTTTTTCCCCCAGTGTTTTGGATAGCTTTCTCTTTTGTGGTTTTAAACAGATCAGATTACTCATCATTCCTAGACTTTTGTTTGTTGATGTTGTTTTGTGTTTATGCATGCAGTTTTCTTCCTGCTGTGCTTGCCAGGCAGCCATTCTGCTATTTCATCCTTCTTGGACACCTTTTCAGACTGGACTTGCTGCTGTAAACGCTGCAGTTGAGAAGAAGTGTGAATAGGGAGAGATGCTTCTGGCATTTTAGAATGACTTTTTCAAGCTGGACAACTGAGCCATTTCTAATGAATGTGATGCTTTAATAGCAGCCTAAACTAATGGGACTTGATGACAGTTCCATACCTGCTTTGATGTTTAATTTTCTCCATGTTTTTTCAAATTATGCAGTGAAAATAAGGTAGGAATAGAGGTGGGGAAAGGGGAAGCTTATTAAAATTACATTAAATCCAGAGCTAAGGAATTAACTATTATGATGCTAAAACTTCAGCTGTTACACCAAATCAAGTGCAGTGCCCAATGTCACTAAAATTATACAACTTAATCCATTAATTCAGATGCCATATCTATGATGTAAATAATACAAATTTTGCTGAAAACAAATCTATTTTATATTTTGTTCTCGGTAGAGCGTATGAGGCAAGGAGTTCCCGTTTCCCCTCTGTGGCAAACGTCCCACAGGCCAAGCATGGCCAGGCAGGGGATGTGTGGATTCCCCAGCCCAGTGCGGGGACTCTGCATAATCTCTTAAGTATGAATCAAGCCATTCTTCGCTCCACTTTGAGTAAATCCACAATGCTTAAATCCATAGTCATTCACTGCTGAATTACTGTCAGTGGTTCCCTAATACAAGCTCCTTATTAAATAAACAGGGATCAGATGACATGTGTTAGACTGAAGATGACCAGCGTTGGTATAGATTGCTTCTATGTGAGAAACCCAGGTTTGTGATGAGATGCTGGGTGTATAGGGACAGGGATTGGCAGGCACAGATGGCAGTGCTCATTTATAGCAGCAGAACAAGAATGTGATGCTATCAACAAGACCCTAACTTTGTGCAGGAGGACAATGAAACACCTCATATGAAGGCACAGGAGAGAAAGTTAGTAATATGAGCAAATAGCAATATTTTCCTACTTTAATTCATTATCAGCTGGTTTAGTGAGGATGCCTGAATTACTCCCATCTGAACCAGTATTTTATCCCTTTTTATGGCTGTTTTGAGCCTGAGGTGGAGAGGAGAAGAGGGACGGCATAAAGCCCTGTGGCACTGAGGGAGCCGGGAAGGGGAGCTGCGCTGTCCACCCTGTTCCGTCTCGCGGGCCGGGGAGGGCACCAGGATGTCCCACAGAGGTGGCCAATGAGCAGCCCCACTCTTCCACAATATTGTATCCTTAAATCCAAAGCAACAGGGAAGGTATTGGGACGGGGATCTCTGGTGATTCAGATGTTGGAATCTCTGTTAGGTAAAATCCAAGCAAACCTAGCTTTACCTCTTTCAGGCTTTTTTTGTCAAATGTGCCCTTACTTAGTATCCTTACTCTAACTGTAAGGTCTGTGAGGATGGTAGAGAATAGAACAACAACATTCCAGGTCTTCTAACCTACACTGCAAGGTGTGGGGGTTACAGTGGTACAAACTGCTGTTTGTCCCAGCACACAGATGGCTCCTTGAACAGGCTGCCAGACTTTTCAGGCTTGCAATGTATAGGCAATTCATTCTGACTTGCTTATATGTTGATGGCATGCCTGGTGCTGCGGTGTAGAAAAAATATCAAATGATTTTCTTTGAAAAGGATGTAAACTTAAACTCTTTTAGGCATCTGGATTTTAACAATTAGCTCACTGAGCAGTGATCCACATATGTCATTTCTTGACTATCTCATTATTTGTGTTCATAATTTCTGGGTTTGTTTCTTTGCTTTTCAACTGAAAGTTCTATATTGAAAATTATTTCACAGGCTGCCTCTGTCCCCATCAGTCCCTGAACTGTAAAATGGTGTCATGTACTGTTTTGTTCGGCTGACTAACCACATCTACATCCATAAAATGATTCGGTCTTCAGTGGCCAGAGGCTCATCTTATTATTTTTCTTCCCCTTAAATAACGCTTGGAGTACAACATTGAAAATGTAAATGTGGTTCGTTGGTTATTGACTTTTTATAAACTGTTATCTTTCTGAATATGTTTCCATTCTTCAGAGCTGAAGAGTGTAAATATTAGCACAATTAATGGAAATTGCATGCATAAAACCTTAAGCACAATACCAGGTAACTTTCCTTTTCTTTGTTCCCAGCAGCACAGTCTCACCTTAGTACCTCAGGATTGATGGGATAAGGGGAAGGATTCAGCCATACTGCAGCTTGCAGAATTTATTTTAAAGGCCTCTGGAGCAAGGAGAGGGAAGTACTAAATTCATAAGAACTTTGGTTTAATAGTTTCGATTTTATGCTTTCCGTTTGTATAATCATGTCAATTTTATAATGGCATAAGTAGCAGTAGAACATTCAATCCAGCATAATCCAATTACTGTTTCACTCTCTCAGGCATGTCTTATTCTTAGGGAAAAAATCACCAAGTTTGATTATTATGGATTTGCATACACTTGGTGCCAGAAGTAAGCTGTGTCACTGAAAGATTTTTTGCCTGTGCTCTGCTGTGTAGCTCTTACAAAGAGACTGTCGTAGTGCTATGATGTGGAAAGAGATGATAATTTTTAAGGGTTATTCTATAAACTACGTAAGGAGTGCACTTGTTACAAACAAATTTGTCAATGTCTCAAAAAGCTGGAGCTTGACTTACTATGAGGAGTGTACTGGCATGTAGAGTTTAATTTAAGCTCATGGGTTTTTGTATGACATAGAAGCTGATTCTTACCAGTGGTTTCAGAAAATGCTGCAAGTCCAACTACCAGTGTCTTTTCAGGGAGGTGCATTTTGGGGACGGCTTCAGCTGGACAGAGGCTTCTCTGTGCCACGTGCTCTAGGTGTCCCTGCTGGAGCAGGGGGGTTGGACTAGATGATCTCTAGAGGTCCCTTCCAACCTCAGCCATTCTGTGATTCTGGGATTCTGTGTCCCCAAGGCTCTGCACTAGTTGTCTCACATTTTGGTGCTTGCTTGCTGTCTGCCGTGCTGCTGGCAAGGAGCGCTGGATGCAGCGTGATCAGAGCACCCGCGTTTGAGCTCCCCTCCTCGCCACTGGGACTGCAGAACCGCAGAATCATTCTGGTTGGGAAGGACCTTCAGGATCACACACCGTCTGCAAGCCGTGCCGCAGCGCCAGGGTACGGCCCTGCACTTCCTGCTGGAAAACACGTCCCTATCCTGCCTTGCTCCAAGGAGGCACTGCGTCAGCCTGGGCATTTCGTGGTGGCCTAGTTTGCAGGAACCGACTGAAGTTCTCCTTTGAGGGATTTTTGTTCTCTCTCCAAACACAGTGAGATGCAACCCTGAACAGCCCTGGTGTTCTCAGGAGTACAGAGATGTGTAGCCAGGTGAAGTTGGGTTGTGTAAGTCCCCCTTGCAGCGACATCTCTGTGTCAGGAAGAGCAAGGTACGATGATGTAAGCTGGGCTTATTACTTATAGCTGTTGCCAACCTGTATTTGTAAAATTTCTCTTCAGATGTCAGATGAATTGGGCAAGCCATGAAATTTTTGTCACAGCTCCAGCCAAGGAGAGTCTAGGTTAACAGGCACAGCAAGACTGCTTCTAGAGGTGACTTCCCCATTCATACTCTTGGAGCATGAAGTTTATTTTTGATGTGCATTAAGATTTGGAGGAAGGACTTCTGCTATTTTTAATGCTCTAAATTTGCCTGTTTCGCAGTTTGCTACGAAAAGTTGTTGTTCCTTCTGCAAATTTACTTAGGCATTTGCAATGAGTTCCTTGGAAAGAAATGTGTAGCAATGCTACATCCCCAAAGGATGTGTGTTGATCCTGTTTCAATGGTATCCAAGCTAGCAAGATAGAAGAGATCTTTGTGTATTTCTGTGAAGGCCGTAAGAAGAGAGAGAGAGAGAGAGAGGAATCTTAGAACCAGTTACCACTGAGAGGTTGGGGTAACCCAGCCACTGCAGAGACAAGGGGTGCAGCACTAATACTTAGCACAAAGATGGGTTGGGTTTTATTTTAAGACTCAGCTATCCAGTGTCTCAAATCTCATAAGCAATGCTCACCTCTGTTACTGACGTACAGGAAGAAGTATTTTTGATGTCAGAATTTCAGTTCAAATGCTGAGTGCATCAGCGGGCCTCAGTGATTCCTCAAGCCTCCAGCGTTCGGTACCTTCTCAAGGCCCCAAGGCCTCCTGGTTGCATCAGGCCCCGTTCCTGACTTCCACTGCAGACCCACGGCCGTGGTCAGGCTCCTCGCTCCTGCCTTCTCTTAGGATACCCTGGACGCATCACCATTGCCTCTCCAGAGTTAGCTTTACCCTTATTTTTCCTTCAAAACATGCTAGGATTCTTCAGGTTTC